ACTCCCAGAGGCAGATGCATGTTGGGATTTGTAGTTTTGGCACAGCTGGACTGCCGAGGTTCGCCACCACCGCTTTAGACCTTAGCTGCAATGGTCTGTTAGAAGCCATTCAACTTTTTTTCCCCGCATTGGCCTCTTATCGGTGAATATGCATGGGGCTAATTTGGCTGAAGTGCCGGACTGTGGAACTTTTTTGCAAGAAGGGTTAGATCTGCATGGCCTACAAGGAACAACATTATCTCTTTGGACCGGATCTGGATGCTATAATCAAGGATGCTACTGGGGACAAAAGTACTTGTCTTCCTCAGCGCAAGAAGCCTAAGGAGCAGACTGCTAAATCATCTTTAACTTTCTCTGCTAGGAAGTGTCCTTTTTATTTCAGCATGCCCTCGGCTTCTGCTTTGAGACCTCTGAATGCTGAAGTAAAAAGGACACTTCCTAGCAGAGAAAGTTGAAGATGATTTAGCAGTTTGCTCCTTAGGCTTCTTCCGCTGAGGAAGCTTGTTGATTTGGCGGTATGTACTTGATCGCTAATGTGATTGCTTAAACACAAGTACATTTTACCAACCATTGGCAGCTATTTCTGCCAGTTTTTTGAAAAAGTTTAGGGATTTATAGCATCTATAATCACTTTTTCTGTGGTTAATCATTTAAAATTCTCAACGTCTTTGTATCATGTGTCCTCCCGCTTTGTGCTAGACTTCTATTTCCTTCCCTGTTTTCTTTATCATGGTAATTGCAGTGTTCAGAGAGATCTCCAGGGAGTCTTAAAAATGATCCATGCCAACACAGAGCACCAGGGGAAAACTCCCTGGCTGGAAAAATTGTGCTGAGCTCGGAAATCATTAGCTGTAAAAGAAGGCGGTGGATTCCATGGGGGACAAAATCCTATTTCCTAGAAATAAAAAATAACATTACAGTTCTAGCATTAAAGTACCAACCTCTGCTGGCATTATAGATGGCATCATTGTGGCAGCATCAGCAATGTAAGGAGCAGATATGTATATGCTGATGTGTGCATTTGCAGGAAGTCTGTTGCATGTTTCACTAGTCAGATTGTAGTCATATACTACTATCGAAGTTACTGGATAAAGCTTGTAGGTAACAGACTCTGTTCAGCAAAAAAGAGCAACCCGGAAACAAGTAAAGCCAATCTGGTAATTACGTATGCTATTTAGGAATGTTGTAACCTTGTTAGTCAGAAATGTCACTGTTCTTACGGTGACTGCATCACGTTCTTCTTCTATTCTACACTGTGCAGCTTCTCTACTGGATGTGTAAGGCTGTATTGTATTTTTACAAAGGCAAAGCTTGTACCAGGAATAGTCTGTAGAGCTGCAGCTAACGATTATTTTCAAAATCGATTAGTTGGACGATTATTACGTTCGATTAATCGGTTACTCGGATAAAAAAATTAAATACATTTTTAAAAATGGCTCCAGTGATGGAGTACTAGTTTGTATTGAGATTGTAGTCCATCACAGGAGCAAGCTTAGAGCGGTGGAAGTAAAGAAAAGGAAAAAAAAAGTGCGGTGTGCAATATAGTGAAATGAAAAGTGTAAAATTATACAGCAATGAATGTAGAATGGCACTGCCTATAGAGGACTACAAAACCCAGCAATAGTACATTATACAGCGCAATGCAGAATACCACCAGCTATAGAGGAGTACAACAAATCCCAGCAATAGTACATTATACAGCGCAATGCAGAATACCACCAGCTATAGAGGAGTACAACAAATCCCAGCAATAGTATATTACAGCTGGTAGTATTCTGCATTGCGCTGTATAATGTACTATTGCTGGGTGTTGTAGTCCTCTATAGCTAGTGGTATTCTGCATTGCACTGTATAATATATTATTCCTTGATTTGTAGTCCTCGATACAGCGCAATGCAGAATACCACCAGCTACATAGGAATACAACAAATCCCAGCAATACATTATACATACAGTGTATAATGTATTGCTGGGATTTGTATTCCTCTATAGCTGATCTAATATACATCACAATGTACCATCAGCTATAGAGGAATACAAATCCCAGCAATACATTACAGAGCACCATGTGTGGGGAAAGTGCAGGCTTACCTGAGCAGTCTTCCAGCAACTTGTTTCTGAGATCGGGAATATTGGCGGCTGTCATCCCCCCCACACCTGCTCCTCCTTACTTCTTCTCCCCACGCACCTGTGCCGATCGTGGATTAGGGCGAGCACTGAGCGGGAGGAGGTGCGGCGTGTGGATGCGGGCGGGCCTGGCAGCGGCGAGCGTGAGGTGGGGAGGAGGTGTGGCGTGCAGCGTGTGTGGAGCCATGAACAGGGCCAACCAATCGGAAGCCGATTAATCGATTTTTGAAAAAGTTGACAACTTTTTCAATAATCGATTATAATCGATTATGTCGATTAGTTATTGCAGCCCTAATAGTCTGGCTTGCAGGCCTAGGATATTTAGGAAGATGAGCTTTCCTGAAGCTATTGCAATTCTTCTGAAGGTTTTCAGTAGGGATGAGGCCATGGATCTGTGCGGGACACGTAAGTTCCTACACACCAAACTCTTCACACCGTGTCTTTATGAAGCTGGCTTGGTGCACAAGGGCACAGTCAAGCTGGATACAGAAAAAGGGCCTTCCCCAAACTGTTGCCACAAGGTTAGAAGCATACAATTGTATAAAATGTCTTTCTGTTATGTAGCACTATGTGTACCTTGCAGTAAAAAGCAGGACCAACTTAATATATCAGGGCCCCCTCAACCATTAACATTTTAAAGTAAAGAAAAACCCCAAAAATTACAAACCTGTAGGGAAAATGTTATGAAATATACTTACCTTGCCCCTGCCTGTGGTACCTAGATGATGGTGACGGAGATCCCAGGAAATGCTGAATTACCCTACCCTAAAGCTAGCCATACATGACTTGAATTGGGCTGATTCCTGTGAATTGGCTGAAATCCAAGCCGTGGGTGACCCTGCAGCCACTCACACTTAAACAGGTTAGGAGGACAGGTAAGCTGTCTTTTTTTTTTTTTCTTTTTTCCAAGTAAAGGACCCTTTCATGTCCATTCTTAAAGGAGAACTATGAGGTGAGTGATTTCCACTCACCTCATAGTTAGAGCCGACCCGTGACAAAGAATTCTCACAGGTCGGCTCTATAGATTGGGAAGTGAGCAGAAACATGCAGCCGATCATCTCACTTCCCGATCATCTCACTGCAGTGACTGTCAGTCATCGCTCCCTGGAGGGATTCCCCCCTCCCTGATCCTCCAGCGCTGCGTGGAGGAACGGACGGGTGGAGGAGGGGGGGCACAGCTGGCTCTGCCTCTAGATAGGTAGAGCCCGCTGTCGCTCTTGCAGCTATGTGAATCACGACAGTATTGTCGGGATCCGTCCCGGCTGTGGCGCTCTCGGTATATCGCGGGCAATAGCTCGCTATATACTGAGCTTTGGGTCACAGGAGTAGGAGGTTAGTATATGTCCTCCCGTGACCCTAAAGAGAACTATAGGGAAAAACACTTACCCCATAGTTCTTTTTTTAATTATTTCGGTTTATTGGATTTTTCAGGTAATATACAAAACATACAATACAATAACAGGGGGAGGATTAACCGTGCAATCGATATATAACAGTATTTAGTGAGTCAATACCCCGCGTGTCGGACAGACACTAACAGGGGGGAAGGAAATGACACGGGGAGGGAGGAAGGATTGGGGGGGGGA